CGCGGTGCTTGGCGGGGGGGCTTGGGGGCGGCGCTTTTTTTTGCTGCTTGGGGCAGCAAAAAAGCTAGAGCCGGCCCTGCTAATTAGACAACACATACAACCAAACATAGACTTCATAACACAAACATAAGCATCCAAGCACTATCAGCAACATGTATTAATTGATGCCTTCCTGTCTTGGAAGTCTTTTATAATCAGGTAGATGTTTACTTACTGAAAACTTCAGATTAGTTTTTGGTACTATTTTTAGTGCCCTCCCTCCCCCCAATATATACTCTAATGTGGGAGAGAACTGAATAAGGGAGATCAGTCGAAATAGAAACCAGTGTAATCTGGAATGTATGCTGGTGTAGCAGGGAACATAAAAGGAGAAGAAAATTCAATAATGGAATAGTTAAAGCTAATACTGAACCTCCTTATAATTAAATTTGATTTGTTTCTACAATCTTTATGCACCTGAAGCTCCAAATGAATTTAAATGAAATTATCCATTGCATATGAGATCAAACATAAGGAACTCTAATATAGCTAATCTCCATTGATAAAATCTCTATTTAGAATATAGAAGTAGAATGAAAGATCTACCTTGTGTCAATGTGTAAATTATAAGGCTGTAGAAAGTAGACCTCTATTTATGTGGCCAAATCCTACAGCTCTCCCTCCATCCAAACACCCATTGACTCACATGAGAGTTTTGCTCATAGACTCATAGACTTTAAGGTAAGAAGGATCATCATGATCATCTAGTGAATCTGACCTGCACATTGCAGGCCACAGAACCTCACCCACCCACTCCCATGAGTCCATTAATGGCTATTAGCCAGGATGGGTAAGGAATGGTATCCCTAGCCTCTGTTTGTCAGAGAGTGGTGATGGACGGCAGGAGAGAAGTCACTTGAGCATTACCTGTTAGGTTCACTCCCTCTGGGGCACCTGGCATTGGCCACTGTTGGTAGACAGTATACTGGGCTGGATGGACCTTTGGTCTGACCCAGTACGGCCAGCTCTTATCAGTCAGGCAGATCAAGGTCAAGCTTAGAATTTTTAGTATCCTAAGTAACATAAATAGACTATATTTGTTCTGTGCTTTAAAGAATCGGGCTCCTAGTTAAACTGTCCTTCAATAATATAACTTCCTGTTGATGAAAAAGATCTACAGATGATCTGAAGTCACGGAGTAGACCAGATCTGCTACTCCACTTCATCAGAAAATAGTAAATACAGCTTTCTTTTATAATAGTATAAGCAGGGGTGTCTGAACTCTCCGTTGACATTCATGATTTTCCATAGCACAGCTTTACAGGACCCAAATTCAGGTTCCCTCCCCTCCTTGCCCATGGGAAGATGGCTATTACGTGGGCTAGATAATAGTAGTGTGGGGCTCTGCTGAACATTGTTGGGGCAGGGAGGAGGATTAATTTATGTCGTCGCTTGGTTTGATCTAGGGTAAGTGATATGGCTGTTTGTTTACTAGTGTATTTTTAAAAGATTTTCAAGGGCACCCAGCGCAATGGATGGGCGCTTTTTCACTACAGTCTAGCACAAATGTGAACGAATGAATAAATAATGCAATTGGCCTGTTCCTCTGCTATTGTGAATTCATAGCTTAATACCAGTGTGTGTTTGTTTGTAGTCACACGGGCTCT